AGTCGTGACTGTCACGTTAGCCTGATGGGACCAAACTCTCTTTGTGATTTTAAAACGTAAGACGGTACCCAGATTTGAAGACTACAGTAAGATTTAATTCTACTGTTAATAAGATTTTGGTAGGCTACTATTAGATGGATAGCCTAAATGTCCTAATTCAGATGGGCTACCTGCTTTGTTTAATGGTATATCAAAAAGTGTATACTATTTAAATGTGATTTTGGTACATTTTACCAGTTTTTACCATACTTTCAAAACAAAAATTTTAATAGGAAAAATATGCAATATGAAAATAATTGAAGACAAAATGTGTTTTACTGAGAAAAAACAAGATTTGGTTTTTAAAAAGCCTTTTTCCAAAAGGTACATCTGGAAAAAGGGGGGTCGTCTTATATTCGGGCCAATACGGTAGTTACACTACTAGTTACCGTAAACCGTAATATTATTACAGTAACTAGTTACTGCCCAACACTGATTTAGGATAGCGCAAGAATTGGCGTTTTTCCCCAAAGAGATCATTTTTAAAGCAGCCGGTTGTGTGTCTGTCGGGTTGTAAAGGACACGTCTGTCTGTCAGTCAGAGATGATTTCATTTGTCAGGTCTTCCCGTGTCTATCAGTGTCTCATGATGTAAACGCAGACGTGCTTTGCTTACAGAAGCAGAAGCACTTCTTCTATCTCTTATGAATGCTTATTCAGCTTCATGTGACGATCCTTTGTTCTGTGATGTATAGAACGGCTCTTGTGTTCATAGTTTCACTCTTTGTTCTCGTTCTGAGTGAATTGCGCCAATATGAGTGAAGGGGAGTTCATGTTTCTGTGTTTCCGTTTCAGCGATGATGTAAAGGTCACAGAATTACTGTAATTATCAGGGGGTTTTTTTACTGGTTGTTCATGTTCTTGGACTCAGAAATTATTTTTTCTAGTGCATACACCCGAAATAAATCCATGTGCAGATAATTAATCAAAATATTAACCCAACTCTGTGTTTTCTCTGATAAATAGCTGCCAGTTTGATGTCACGTGAAGTCTGGGATTTCATAAATGTGCTGATAAATTTAGAGTTTTGTAAATTACAGTAATTCCGACATGAATATACTGTGAACCACTGGAACTCATTGTTAATGTACTAATAATATAGTACTCAGTAATATTCTGAATTAGCTGTCATTTGTATATTTTCAGTTTAGACCGTGAGGAAGAGCAGTTTGCCCGGAGAAGAGAGGAGATCAGACAGCGATCAGAAGAGCGGTACGTAAATCTCACATCTCCGATCAGCATGCGAGTTCAAACCTGCTGTAGATTAGGTTTTTTTGTCAATTTAATAGTAAATGTTAAAGGAATAGTTGAACATTAGCTGAAAATATCCTCACAACATGAACTAATAATTAAAAATACTTTATTATAGCATTTATTAATCTTAGTTTGTTTTATTTCAACATTTACTAATACATTATTAAAATCAAAAGCAAAATATCTGTTAATATTATTATTAATTATCTTTATTATGTCTATAAATTATTTATTAATGTTTTGAATTAGTTTTTATATATTTTCTGTTTTTTATTTCTGTAATTTATTTTAAATTTAGTTAGTTAACATGAGCTAACAATGATAAATACTTTTAAAACATTTATTAAACGTAGTTCATTTTAAATCCAACATTAACTAATAATTTTTTACACTCAAAAGTCGCATCAGTTAATATTATTAATATTAAACGTACATTATTTTTCTCTTTTAATATCCTTTGCACTCAAAAATATGTCATATTGTTTAAGTAAAATGAGTTGCGACTGGTGTTTCATGTTGATTGTGTAAATTGTACCTTTTATATGCCAATTAAAAGAACCAAAGACTTAAACTACTTCAGTCTGTGTGCACTGAATTTATTTAATACACGAGTTTCACAATTTGAGTTGAATTACTGAAATAAATGAACTTTTCCACGACATTCTAATTTATTGAGATGCACCTGTATACACTTCCATTCCAAAGTTCGGGGTTGGTAAGATTTCGTTAAATTAAAAAAATAAAAATAAAAAATCCTCTCAAGGATTTATTGAATTGATTAAAAGTGACAGTTATAGACATTTATAATACGATTTCTATTTCAAATAAATGCTGTTCTTCTGAACTTCATCACCGTTGAAAAGCATCACCGTTCATCACCGAAAAGCATCACCGTTTCCACAAAAATATTGTGCAGCACAACTGTTTTCAACATTGATAATAATCAGAAATGTTTCTTGAGCAGCAAATCAGCATATTATACTGATTTCTGAAGATCATGTGACACTGAAGACTGGAGTAATGATGCTGAAAATACAGCTGCGCATCACAGAAATACATTACAGATTAACAGATATTCACACAGAAAACAGCTGTTCTAAATTGTAATATATAGTATTTTTGATTTAAAAAATGCAGCATTGGTGAGCAGAAGAGACTTTCAAAAGCATTAAAAATCTTGCCGACCCCAAACTTTTGAACATTAGTGAAACTTAGTCTTCTAATAAAGATTAGTTTTATTCGCTGTTGATCTTAGCGTTTTGCATTCCAGTTTAATGCAGAAACCTGATCTGTAACAGATACACGTGTAAAACACTAGCCGGTGGAGTTATTGTTGTGCTGCTTTGTTCAGGATTGTGGAAGCAGCAACAGATGGCTAAAAGCTCCAGTGATTGTTCACAGATCAGCTGCTCATAAAGCTCCGGCTGATTTATTTGGTATGAAGCGGCCGCAGTTCGTCTGGAGGCTCGGCCTATCTTCATTGTGTGCTGTACAGAGGATGAATGATGCACGGCGAGCGATTGGTGTCGTTCAGCGCCGCTCGTATGTCACACACCCATAAAACACTGCTGCTCGTATTTATGACGAGCCTGTGAAGGAATGGAGGGCCTTAAACAAAGACATGAACTCATGGTGAATCATCTACTGCTGCCCATGTGCTGCTCTTCAGGACTTGGCCAGTTTTCAGTTGAGCAGCTTTGGTTGCGGAAATTGAATCCAGGCTATGAGTTTGATTTGTTCTTCTTGTACTGGTTTTACAGGATTCAGAATTTGTATTGGGCAAAAAATTTGGAATTCTGAGAAAAAAAATCTGAAATGCAAGATATAAAAAGAAAAACTCTACGAAAATAGTCAGAACGGCGAGATGTAAATGTAAAACTCTACGAAAATAGTCAGAATTGTGAGATGTAAACGCAAAACTATATGAAAATAGTCAGAATTGCGAGATGTAAATGCAAAACTCTACGAAAAGTCAGAATTGTGAGATGTAAATGCAAAACTCTATGAAAAGTCAGAATTGTGAGATGTAAACGCAAAACTCTACGAAAAAGTCAGTATTGCGAGATGTAAACGCAAAACTCTACGAAAAAGTCAGAATTGCGAGATGTAAGCACAAAACTCTTTGTAAAAGTCAGAATTGTGAGAAAAAAGTCAGTGTAACACCGTTCGTAGGTCGGGAAGAAGGAGGCGACATTTTAAAACTTTAATAAAATAAACCAACAAAAAATGAAAGTAAAGCGGTAGCCCCTCGCGGACGACTGCCGCACACAAAACACAAAATAAACTCCAGGCCTGGTCCTCTCTCGTCTTTCACTGTCGTCACTCCTCCTTTTATCCTTCCGGAGCTCCTCCGTGGGACTCGAGACCGGTGAGTGGTGCAGGTGTCGCTCATTATCACTTACTCCACCGGCCTCGCTCTGTTCCCACGGCTCTCGGCCCCGCCCCTCTCGCCACAGTCAGATTTGTGGGGAAAAAGTCAGAAATGCAAGATATATTTTTCACTCTTTTTTCAACATGAATAATATTAACAAAATATAAACACTATAATTATAAACAGTCGATCAATCATTGTATTATTTCGTGCATGGTCACATAATCTGTCCATCAGTCTAATGTACCTAGTTTCTTCCAAGTCTGCAAAAAAATACAGCTCAAATGATGCAAATGGCACAGAAATTCAATATTTTGTTTCAAAAATCTATATAATCCCGTCCAGTCTGTAAAAAGCCGTCACTCATCTCTGGTTACTGTCTGTTGCAGGAAGGCGGAGAGGAAGGGGAAACATGATGAAATCCGCAAGAAGTATGGTAAGTCCCGTCAGTCCTGTGCTTCTGTCATTAATATTCACAAGCGTTTAGTCACATCTACTCATTATGACACTTTTCTGCATTTTAGAGAAATAGTAGTGTCATAAAAGCTATGAAATAACACAAATAAAACTAGGGGAATGATATAGTGACTAAAACCTGGTAAACAATCTCTGTTTTCTATGTGAATATCTGTAAAAATGTAATTTATTTCTGTGATCAAAACGTCTGCAAAGACGTCTTGTATTAGCTAATACATCTTCAGTTGTTAACTTTTGGCTGATTACAGGACATCATGTGGAGATGTTGTAACACAGGTCTTTATTGATCTGGTTCATTGTGTTGGTCTCAATAATCTAATTCTTCAAACGCAGTCCGATACAGGAACACTCAGCTTTCTGATCGACACACCCTGATCAATGCTGATGTGGCCTCGGCAGAGGACGAGTAGAGACTATGAATGAGAAATACTCATGGAAGCTTGTTTCCACAGCAGAATAGAAATATATATATAAAATAGCAATTTTTTTCTCACATTCAGATTTTTCCCTCCAGAATTCTGAGTTTACATGTAAACGCAAAACTATGGAAAAAGTCAGAATTCCGAGATGTAAACGCAAAATTCTAACAAAAATGTCAGAATTGCGAGATGTAAACGTAGAATTCTGAGGAAAATGTCTGAATTGCGTGATATGAAACTTGCAATTGAGAGAATTATGAGTTAAGAAATCAGTTACCTTTTTTATATTTTTATTCCATGGCGGAAATAATCTTCCATAAATACTAATGCTAACGCTTGCTTTACTAGATAGCAGTAGGATATTAGCACTAATTACTCTGTTGAAAGCATAATTATTTTACTCATTACTTATGAATTAAGACCTTGATTAGCCTTTACCAAATGCACACAGACACACAATAACCTGTCCTTCAGTTCCTTATTAAAAATCACTTCTCTGTGCAACGCAGAAAACGGCACATGCATATTTCATCAGAGTGCGTTTACTACAAATTTCAGTCATTTTCTGAATTACATAATTCAGAAAATGCTAAACATTTATCTGGTTTTAAGAAAATAACATTTTAAAGCACAGATGCAAAAATTGCTCGAGGATTTGAGGAGGGAAATGCATTTCTTCTTTTCCTGATAAAACTCGTCCTCCAGCACTAATAGGTGAAAAAGCGTCAGACGGGCTGCTTGACTCGTGCTTGATTAACTCTGTGCTAATTAGCGCTGGTGGAGAGCTGAGAAGGGCTGTAATTTATGTGGTGGCAAAGGCCCGGATCGCGTCCCGGCGCTACAGAGGAATGAGGTGAGATGTAAATGTATTTGCCGCCTGCGATCGCAGCTCCTGCGGTGCGTGAGAGCGAGAGAAAGCGAGAGCGGGTCACTGGAGCCGCGGCGGAGGCCAGGAGGACGATCCCTCGCAGCTGCTGCACAAAGACCTGCAGAAAACCACACGACCTTGAGACAAGCTGAAGGAAGTGTTCAAGTTCATGCCGCAGAAGAGCAATGAAAATGACCTGAAGAGAGCATTTGTCTTCCAACACACTGCTTCATTTATTTAGAAATAATGCATAACTACATGGAGACAAACTTTTATTTTATTTTATTTTATATCAAATGTAATTTTTATTTAATTTGATTTAATTTATTAAGATGCACAACTACATGGAGACAAACTTTTATTTTATATCAAATGTCATTTTTATTTAATTTGATTTCATTTATTTTTTATTTATTTTTTATTTTATTTTTTGAAAAACATTTTTAATAATTTTATTTATTTTATATTTATTTTACATTTTCTTAAAATGTCAATTATTTAATAATTTAATTTGATTCCATTTAATTAATTGAATATATTTTTATTTTATTTTTGTATTTTTTCTGATAGTTAATTTAACATTTATCTAATTAAATTAAAAAAATGTATTTATATTTTATTTTTGTAATTTTTATTTTATTAATTTTATTAATTAATTTATTTTGTATTTTACATTTTCTTAGAGTAATACATTTTATTATTTAAGTTGATTTCATTTAATTTGATTTATTGTATTTTATTTTTGTATTTTTACTTATTTTATTTGATTTCAAACAGCCTGCAGATGCATTCGTGTGAGTGTCTGCGGCTGCAGTGTGTCTGTTTGACATTCTCGTGAGCCAGTCGCACTTGTCGGTGAAGAGGGTGTTGAAAGTAAAGAGAAGATCAAAGGATGTGCGCCTCTCTGAGAGCTTCATCCCTCTATATCTGATGACAAGACTCTTCTCATCCCCGCTCACTCGCTCCGACCGCCGAAGCTTCCTCATGCTTTCTCTGCACGGCGGCTCCTCATCCGCTCACGTTCAAGATGTAAACTTCAGAGAACTCAGAGGGAAAAAAAATTCTGAATTCTGAGTTTGTAACTCTCAATTCTGACTTCCTTCCTCAAAATGGTTAGAAAGTCAGAAAAGTTACTTTTTTTTATCCCATGGCGGAAACAAGCTTCCATAGTTTCCACGTCCTGCTGCAAACTAAAAGTCCATTTTTGTAAACTTTACTTATAGAGTAAAACAAACTGTAAAAACATGGCAGTACTATGTATTGGATGAAATAAAATGACACACACATTATAAGGAATTTTATTTGTATATGTATTTTTTATTTGAGATATAATATATATTTTTTAATATTTAATATATACACACATTTTTAGTTATTATGAATAGTGAATGCATTTATTTAATGAATAAATACATGCATTTTATTTAATGGCACCTTTCTAAACACCCAAGGTCACCTTACAGCAAGCAAAATGATAAAATTACAAAAATTAGTAACAAAAGACAAACATATCCTGCCAGCATTAAAAAATTCAGCAGCACAACTGCATGCATACATCATAAATACGGTAGAGGCATAATAAGAGCAAGTCATAAAAATATATCATATTAAATAAATATGAACATTTTATTATACATATATATATATATATATGTGTGTGTGTGTGAACAAAATGTATACACACACACACACACACACATTTTTTTAATGAATAATTATATTCACATTACGTTTAGTCGTTTAGCAGACGCTTTTATCCAAAGCGACTTACAAATTAGGACAACAGAAGCAATCAAAACTAACAAAAGAGCAATGAAATGCAAGTGCTATAAAAGTCTCAGTTAGCTTAATAATGCAGTACACTTAGCAAGATTTTTATTTATTTATTATATAATAAAAAGAAAACAGATATAATAGAAAAATAATAGATCAAGCTTTTTTTTTTCTTTTTTCTTTTTTAAAGAAAACAAGCAGTTAGTAAATGAATGGAGTGCAAGTCTAAAATGTGCAAGTTTTTTATTTAGAAGAATAGAATTAGAATAGAGAGTGCTACACTCTAAAAAAAAAATGCTGGGTTGTTTCAACCCGATGTTGGATCAAATATGGACTAACCCAGCTGTTGGGTTAAAAAGTTAATTTAAAAATGTAACCAAAATTTAACCCAACAGTTGGGTTAGTCCATATTTGACCCAACATTGGGTTGAAACAACCCAGCATTTTTTAGAGTGTAGAGTTAGAGGGTCAAATAAAGATGGAAGATGTCGTTTCTTGAAGATGGTTAAGGACTCAGCTGCTGGGATTGAGTTGGGCAGGTCATTCCACCAGGAGGGAACAGTTAATGTAAAAGTCTGTGAAAGTGATTTTGTGCCTCTTTGAGATGAACAATAAAGCAACGTTCACTTGCAGAACGCAAGCTTCTAGAGGCACATAACTCTGAAGTAATGAATTTAGGTAAAGGGGTGCAGAGCCAGTGCTGGTTTTGTAGGAAAACATCAATGCCTTGAATCTAATGCGAGAGCAGCTATTGATAGCCAGTGCAGATTGATGAACAGAGGTGTGACGTGCATTCTTTTCAGCTCGTTAAAAATTAATTTTTGGATTAATTATAAAGGTTGATAGAACTGTCTGGAAGACCTGCCAAGAGAGCATTGCAATATATATATATATATATCACATGCATAAAATCTTTTTAGTGTAGTGAATCAATTTCGTCTTTTTTTCTTCTCCTTTTCCTGTATGAATTATTAATGAAGTCATGTACGGAATATTAGGGTCTTTAAAAATCCATTTAAAAACTGTACAAATGTCGCCTGGCTTTTATTATAAGGCGAGGCGGTGTTCTACAGATGATGGACAGCTGGATGGACCAATGACTGACCCGCAGGGGCGGGGCTAACTCCGTTTCATCCGCTCTCTCGCAAAGCAAGAGGAGAATCCCAGAAAAATGACATCCAGCTTTTCCAGAGGAATACCGCGGCGTTTAGAGACGCTCTCCTGAAGCCTCTCCTCACATCACCACGGATTACAGCTCGCTCTTCAGATATGCAGTCAGGACATGTGTGTTTAATACAGTAATACAGAAGGACAGTGTTTTCACGACTCGGCTCTGATTCCAGACTCCCTCAAACATCGGCACAATGAAGAAATTAAGAAGAACTTTGTCGGAGAGCTTCAGTCGCATCGGTGAGTGTCCACAAACACGGTATAAACGAGACTTACACTTAAAAGTGTGCATGTGTAGTGCACATGTGATTGTTCATCAGGCGCCTGAGCTCCTCACGAACAGCCCGGAATAGAATACAGAATAGAATTGAGTAGAATTCTCCTGCTGACGCATCGGTATCTGATCAATGCGCTCTCTGCGGGTTCTCCTGCTTTGTGCTTCATTGGCAGGGTCTGAAGTTTCTGTGAGTTCATATCATTCTCATGAATTCATATCTCACAGATGTCAGTGCCCTTCAATTCTGTTCGGAATTCTTTAATATGTGCATCAGGGTTCTTCAAAACCTCAGGTTGAGTAGACAATAAGTCTGTTCTGTGGTTTTGAGGCTTTGTGGAAGATGTTAGCAAATGCTGAAGTGCTTTATAGATTTCAGAAACATGCAGGTCATATTTCACCCCAAAATTATCATTATTTATTATTTATTTTTCATAAAAAATAATATATATATAATATTTAATTGTCATACTTTATGAAATACTTGATCAAATGTTTTTTTTTAATATAT